AGACTCAGCAGCTGGAACCCATGACCTAGCTGGGATGGCTAGGGCTGAACTGACCAGAACCCGACCAAATGAAGAGGAAGATGTTTGACACTGAGCTGGTGTTAACTCACTGCTATTGATTCAGATCCGACGCATAGCGACCCCTCCTTGGGTTTCTGAGGCAGTGTCACTACAGAAGTAGATTGCCCAACCTTCCTTCCGAGGAGTGGCTGGTGGGTTTGAACTGCCAGCCTTCTGCTTAGCAGTCAAGTGCCTTAGGCACTACACTACCACAGCTCCCTAAAACTCACTGCTGTCGAGTTGGTTCCAACAAATAGTGACCCCTCCTTGGGTTTCTGAGGTGGTATCTCTACAGAAGTAGATTGCCCAGCCTTCCTTCCAAGGAGTGGCTGGTAGGTTGGAGCCTCCAGCCTTCTGGTTAACAGTCAGATAAATGCCTTAGGCACTACACCACCAGAGAGCCTCACACTAGTTTGATAGGGATGGGAAAATTAGAAATTGGCTGTCTAAAATAGGATGAGATAAAGGCATGAAGTGGCTGACTTACACATTTTCACAGGTGTGGTTATTCTTAAACTTAGGGTGGAGGGGATGTTAATTTTTGGAGTATAAAATGGATAATGGCTAGAAAAGCTAGGGGGTGGCCTGCAGTGTAATAAAATCCATGGTATGGCTTTTCTAGCCATAGTCTTTGTAACTCCCACTTTGCTGTGAGCAATTGAGTAGCTGATTGTTAAAGTTATCCACCTGGTGTATTTCTGTTGGAGCAGCAGGAAGCAGTCTTCTGGGAAGTTCACTCTCTCTCAAGTGTGTAGAATTCTGATGTTGGAATTTGTTATTTTTGCCACTCTGCCAGGCTCAAAATGAGCCCTCTTAGAGGCAGAAAAAGTCTGACTGCCAGCTGAAAGAGACTGTTGCTGAAAGAGATGTGCTGTTGAGAGAGAGAGAGAGAGATGCACTGCTGAAGAGAGAGATGTGCTGCTGAGAGAGACTGAGAGAGATGGCCAGCTGAGAGTGATGGCTGGCTGAGAGAGATGGCCAGTTAGGAGAGATTGAGCACGTTCCTGAACTTGAATTGTAGCCTGTTCCTTCCCTAATAAACCCCATAATCTGTGAGTTCTGTGTGGCCACTGCAGGGAATTATTAAATCCAGCAGAGAGGTGGTGGGTGCTGTGGGAGGAATGGTTGGTAGCAAAGTTAGTAAGAAGGTTGGAAGGTGGTGGGATGTCTGGCTTCATAAGAACAAGTCTTGGGCTGCAGATGGTGATTCTGTCTTCTTGTGAAGTTAGAAGAGATCAGAGTATGCCACCTCCTTGCCCCTTTAAACCACATGAGTATCTGTGTAGACACAGAAAAGAATTTGACAGTATCCAACCTTTTATGATAAAAACACTCAACAAATTAAGACCGCAAGGAAACTTCCTAAACCTGGTAAAGGCTATCAGTGAAACACCTACAGTAAACATCATACTTAATGGTGAAGACTAAATGTTTCCTGCTAAGATTAGGTAGGGACAAAGATGTCCACTCTTGTCACTTCTATTTAACACTGTATTGGAGATTTTAGCCACGGAAATTAGGCAAGACAAAGAAATAAATGGCATTCAGACTGGAAAGGAAGAAGTAACACTATTTCTATTTGTAGATGACATTGCCTTGTGTATAGAAAATCCTACAGAATACACATGCAAAAAAACCTTAGAACTAATTAATGAGTTCAGCAAGGTTGTAGAATACAAAATCAATATATAAAATATACATTGTATTTCTATACTCTAGAAAATGATCCAAAAATGAAATTAAGAAAACCCATTTACCAAAGCAAAAAAAAAAAAAAAAAAAAAGAGAGAGAGAGAGAAAGAGAGAATGAAATATTTATGAGCAAATATAACAAAAGAATGAAGAGAATGGGTGGGAACAGGGAGGAAGTGGGAAAAATACTGTAATACTGTGACTGTGTGAGGACTGTGGTAAATGTCACAAAACAGAATGTGTATGGATTATTGAATAAAATTCCAATTTGCTCTGTAAACTTTCACCCAAATCATAATAAAAAATATTTTAACACAAGTAATGCAAAACTAGTACACTGAAAGCTGTAAAATATTGTTGAAAATAATTAAAGAAACCCTTTCCCCCCTTTGATCATGGAACAACTTCCCATGATCAAAGATCAGAAGACTTATTATTGTTAAGATGGCAATATTCCCTCAAATGATGCACAGATTCAATGCAATCTTTATTAAGATCTCATCTGTCCTTTTTTCCCCAGAAGTTGACAAACTGATCCTAAAATTCATACGTAAATGCAATGGACCCAAAGTAGCCAAAACAATCTTGAAAAGGAACAAAATCAGAGGATTCATGCTTCTTTATTTCAAGACTTGATACAAAGCTAGTGTAGTATTAGAATAAGCACAGACATATACATTAGTAGAAAAGAATTTAGAATCCAAAAATAAACCCTTTCTTTATGATCAATTCATTTTCAACAAGGGTGCAAAGACAATCCAATGGAAGTAGTATTTTCAACAAATGATGCTAGGACAACTGAATAACCACAGCCAAAAGAATGAATTTAGACACCATACCTCACACCATATAAAAAAGCAACCTAAAATGGATTAAAGATCTAAGTGAAAGAGCTAAAACTATAAAAGTCTTAAAAGAAAACATGGGTGTAAAATCTTCATAACTTTGCTAACATCAATGATTTCTTAGCTATGACACAAAAGCAAAAGCAACAAAATAAAAAATACATGTATTGGACTTATCAAAATTTAAAACTTTTGTGTTTCAAAGGACACTCAAGAAAGTGAAAAGATAACCAAAAGAATGGGAAAAAACATTCATAAATTATATATCTGATAAGTGTGTAGTATCCAGAATACATAAGGAACTCTTACAACTCAACTAGTTTTCCTTTTCTGTGTGGGCTATGAATTGGATCGGGGCTCTTGGTGTTTGAAGAAGTGGTTCCTAAAATCTACTGCACTCAAGAATAGGGTGGCCAGATTTAGCAAGTAAAAATAGAGGAAGCCTGGTCAAATTTAAATTTCAGATAAACAACAAATAAGTTTTCAGTGTAGGTAAGCATATGCAATGTTTGGGGAAATTTTAACTGGTTGACTGTATCTTATCTGGCAAACCTACCCAAGAATCACTTCATAGCTTCTTAAATGTAGATCCTGGGCCCTATCCCTAGAGATCATGATTCCTTGGTCTAGGGTGGGACTCAGGAAGCTGCCTTTTTAATCAGCTCCAGGGACTCTGATATGGGTGCCTAGGCTACACTTTGAGAAAGTGATGAGATTCTTTGAAGAAGCGATGAGAACTTCCATAACAGCTTCTAGCCTAACTGAGGACATAAACAGAAAAGAGAGTCACTGGTATTCCAAACAACAAAAATAAAACAAAACCCATCACCATTGAGTTGATCTGATTTATAGTGACCCTGTAGGAGAAAGTAGAACTCCCTCATAGGATTTCCAAGGCTGTAATCTCTACGGAAGCAGATTGCCACATCTTTTTCCTGTGGAGCAACTAGTAAGTTTGAACCACCGACCTTTTGGTTAGCAGCTGTGTGCTTAACCAACTGCACAACTAGGGCTCATTTCAAAACTTAAAAGTAACATGAAAATGCAGGTTCTGTAAAAATCTACACCTTGAAATGATTTAAGACCAAAAAATACCAAACTCACTGCCATCAAGTCAACTCCAACTCATAGCAACCCCCATTGGGTTTTCAAGTCTGTAAATCTTTATGGAAGCAGACTTCTCAGCTTTCTTCTGTGGAGCAGCTGGTGGGTTCGAACCGCTGACATTCTGGTTAGCAGCCAAATTCCTTAACCACTGAAATAGTTTAGAGTACCAAATAAAAGGGCAAAGCAAAGGAGAAAGAAAAAAAAACAAAGTAGCTAAAAAAGACCCCTCAAAGAAATTACCACATGCTCTGTGTGACTTTGTCTGGCACCTTATCAGCCCAGGCTAACTGTGTCAGGCATCTCACACAACAGGACATGCAAACTGTTATGTATTTTTCCCAGTCTTCTGTGTTTCAGCACTTTTCTCTAAACCAGGATCCAAATGTAACTCCATGGCATTCCTTCTAAATATATTACAGAAAGCTAGACACCACCACAACCATTGGAAGAACCCCAGAAATAGAGGAAAATCACTGCCTAGGCAAGTCTTTGGGCTAATGAGGTCCAAAGATCACTGCCAAATGAAGAGTGGATTTCAGGCTGCCTCCACAGGGTGGAATTAGCTTAAATGTTACTATACATCAGGAAATTGCCCCTAAACTCAGATTGTGTGTGGCTGTTCCCTTAAGAAGCAGCTTTGGTGGTGTAGTGGTTAAGGTATTTGGCTATGAACCAAAAGGTCAGTGGTTCAAACCTACCAGTTGCTCCACAGAAGAAAGATGAGGCAGTCTGCTTCCATAAAGATTTATAGCCTTGGGAACTCAACACGGGTTGCCATGTGTCAGAATTGACTTGACAGAAGTGAGTTTGGTTTGTTTTTTGTCCCCTTAAGGGACACTTAGGAGCTCTGGTGGCATAGTGTCTAAGGCATTTGACTGCTAACCAGAAGGCTGGAAGTTCAAACCCACCAGCCTCTCCTCAGTACTCCTGTAGTGATACTGCCTTGGAAACCCAACGAGGGGTCGCTATGAGTCAGATCTGACTCAATGGCAGTGAGTTTGGTTTGGTTTGGTTTAGAGGACACTGAACTTCGGGTAAGGGTGAGGGAAAAAATGTGGCAACAGTTAATGGTGGTAGGTGATCAACATGATGAACATAATTATGTCACTGAACTGTGCATATGAAGATTGTTGAAATGGCAAATGTTTTGTTACCTGTATAGTTACCATAATAATTAAAAAAAAAAATCCATCTTTTAATGTCTGAAGATTCTTCCCACTCAGGATTAACTCCCTGTCACTGAAGGCACATCCTCACTCCCACCACATTTGCAAAGGGAGAAAAAAAACAACTCACTTTCCATCCACAGCCTCGACAATCTTGACCTCAATCTCCTGTTCGTACAGTGTGCGCAACATCCGGTCCCGTCTGTCCTTTCTGCGTTTGAGGTTGATCATGAAAATCTAACCCAGGAAGAAAAAGGAGATAGAAACACAAAATTACTCAAGTCTTATTTTAGGCTGTTTGGAAAGCTAAGTAAAATATAAAAACCAATGTTTTAGGTTTAACAAATGGAGGACAGGATAGGAAAACTGTGGTGAAGATTTTGGTACATGGCGGCAGGATGACAAATGAAATTTATTTATATTTCATATTAAGTAAATGAAGGGCAAATGATAATAATCCAAACAGAATTGCTTTCAAAACTCAGCCATTTGTAGCACCTAACAATGCCTTCGTTTTTCTGATACTCGTTGATGAACATGTGCTCATGGTTCTTGAGATAGGAGAGTTTAAAAGTGAGTCTTCAGGAGTCCAAGTGAATTAAACCCAAAATATATAGTGCTGAGATTTGGTAGGCAATTTGCCAAGTGATTGAACTCATAAGCAGACCTGATTTTAGGTCCTGACTGTTATTTATTAAGTTTTTGCCTTGGAGTTCAACGAGACAGAAAATAACAAATGCTCGTGAGGATGTGGAGATATTGGGACTCTCACACACTGTTGGTGGGACTGTAAAATGGTACAACCATTGTGGAAAGCAGTATGGCAATTCCTTTAAAAGTTGGAACTAGAAATACCACTTGACCCAGCTATTCCATTACTAGGTATATATCCTAAAGAAGTGAGAGCCGGGACAAGAACAGACATATGCACACCCATGTTCATCGCAGCACTATTTACAATAGCCAAAAGATGGAAACAACGTAGGTGTCCATCAACTGAGGAATGGATAACCAAACTA